GGCATGCCCCATGGGGCATGCCCCTGGGGCATGCCTAGGTGCATGCCCTTTAACCAAAAGGCATGCCCCTGTCATGTAATCTATAGCTAATATGTGATTGGCTATTTCAGTGATTACCCAATAAAATATAAGTCTGATGTACAGATCATTGTTATCTAAAGTTCACATATCCATAGTAAATGAGATATAACAAATTTCATTATTGTTATGTATATACTCACGCATGCTTTGCAAAACTCTATCCTTAGCATTGATTAAAATTTTTTTTAACTGATCATTGCTTAAAACACTAGCTTAAGAGTCCAAGTCTTCTATTGTTTTTATTAAAGTTTATGATTTTAGAATTGAAAAGGGTTGGAGTTCTTCAGTGATAAAAGCAGCAAAATTATTGTTAAGTTTTTTTTGTTTTGGGTGATTGGATGAATATTTTGCTGCTTTGCTAAATGCTTTTACTAATATTCCTTGTGAGGATTCTGCTATTATATGAAATTCACATTTGCTTTCACCTTTTTGTTGTTCTATTTTTACCTATTTATTTTCTACTATTGCTCTTGAAATGTGATGTTTGCTTCTCAAATATCACCATAAATTTGATATGGTGTCATCTTTTTTATATTTTACCCGTGAACAGATTTTGTGCTAACAGGTCCAATATTCTATATTATTAAACAACACTATCTTATAAAAAGATTTAACAGGACTACCTTCTAATTTTTTAGCTCTTTCCCAGGCAGACTACTTAAATTAGATACCAAAAGTACACGTGTGGCTAGTTGTATTCTCGTGAAATTGATGTAATATTGTAATTATCTGAATAAAGCTAAGTGCCGAGAGACCTAAGAAGTCACCTTAATATAAAAAAAAAAAATTTTTTAGCTTTTTTTTTATACTAAGTTGTGGATAACTGTGAAACCTTACTAATACTCAAATCATCTGTGCTAACTACATAACCATTAAATTCCACCTCTAAATGCTCTAATTCTACTATCTTCAAATCAGTATTTATATGCTCTGATTCCACCAACTCCAAGTCAATATCTACATGTTCTAACTAAAATATCAGCATTTTTTTCTTATTTATAAACAGAAAACAACACTATGCTTGA